TTGATTTTTTGTTATTTTTAACTATTACAAGTGGTCGTTAAATTGTGATTATGACGTTAAACCACGTTACCTGTGTCATTTTCAATGACTTTTCATCTGCAGAGCTCCAGTAGCAAATTAGCAATTCACCTCTGAGTTGTGGGTGAAGACAGCGCTAGGCTGCACACTCTTCATGCTAGCTCACAGCCTAACATCAACGGTGTAGTAGCAGAAGTAGCAGGTAATATAGGAACTATTCAGCTCTCGAACACTAATGTCTTTAGGGACATGATGAAAACTAATATCATAATTAGTTTTCTTCTTTTCTCATTATATGTCCTACAGCATCAGAAAAATGCTGTTTAAACATGTAGACAACAAGAAAAACATGATTTTCATCAGAGTGGGTCAGCACCAGTTTGGCCCACAGGTGAAGGCACGTTTCTCGTAAAGAGGTTATAGTCCTTGCTGCAGCAGCTGGATGGACCCCTGACCTACGCTGCATGTCTTCCTTTTCTTTCGCTCTCTTTCTCTGCTGTCCTATCTTTTAGGCAAAAGGGAACCCAAAAAACTCCAGAAAGGAACATTATATATATGTTATATATTATTATACATTATATGTAATATGCATATGATAAATACATATACAAAAAAAGGTTGGGTATAGTGTAAGTTTTTTCTATATTCATGTGCCTTTCACCTAAAAACAGATTTTTTTGGAGCCTGCATTGTTCTTGGAAAGCCTGATTGAGTCATTAAATGCAATTCATCAGTAATTAATCTGTTAGTTGTGTTAAACTGCAGCTAATGACAGGCGGAGACACATTATTACATGATGCAGAATAAATACATATGACTGCAGAGGAACAAATATGAGGTTGGTAGCTGCAAAACTTAGCGAGACCACACTCAATATCACATGCACGAAAACCAGCATCAAAACACAACAAAAGACTCCCTCCTCCTTTAGTTTGATACAGTCCGACACAATGAAATACACACTTTTGGAAGTTTTTTATAATGCCATGACTGAAAAGGGTCATCCATCTCACTGCACAGGTCTTAAACATGTTTGATATTTAAACTTTTATCATTTTCAGATGTTTTGAGTTGCAGATCAAATACAGAAAAGCTGCTGATGGAGAAAAGACACCTGCTTTTTTCTCTACTGGGTAATAGAAATGATATCAAACCCCTGAACACACCATGGATGATAAGGTTGTGGTCATGTAACAGTTCAAAGCTGACATGTTTTATATGTTACCCACAAATGCTGTCAGAGCAGCCGGGCACATAATGGCCTACTGTCACTTTAGGTTTTACTGATTTTTGAAGGATGCAAATCCTACTTCTGGACTGCTGTTTGCAGATAAACACTCGTGGTTGGTTTGCAAATGACCCCACACGTGCACAAAAACACACACATGCCTAGAGAGCGGGTACAGAATGGGAGTTTGTATTCAGGAGAGAAAAAAAATCCACATATACTTTCTGTTCACAACAGTGCGGCGTTGTTTGGACTCCGAGGAAAATCATGTAAATGAACCAGGAAAAGTTTGTGTGTGTGTGTGTGTGTGTGTGTGTGTGTGTGTGTGTTTGTGTGCCAAACTCACACTCATCAATAGAGAGTTTGTGAGTTCTCATGAACAGCGTAAAAATAAACAAATCTGTCGGCGAAAAAGATGGCAACAAGCCGATCATACCTTAACTTTTAGTCACAGTGAACAAAACATCTCTTTGTGCCATCTTCTCTGATGCAAATGTTAAACAGTCGGCTGACAGAGGGAAAGTAAAAAGCAGATGAAACATGTAAAAAAAAAACACCCGAGTCAAAAGGCCTTTTTTATCCTCCAAGAGGAAATGGTTAGAATAATATCTGGGTTACAAACATTTCTGTTCTCATGGGAATGAACTCACTGAAACTCCCGTTAGCTTGTGTTGCCCAGCACAGGGAATCGTACAATAATTTTGCATCTCTTTTGCTTTTCGTTGCTTTTAAATTTTCTTTGAGGATGAACTCTGTTTTAAATCAATGTCATTTAAGTGCGTAAAGCAGTGAGTTCCCCAAGGGTATCAAATGTGCTTTAAAAACAAAAGTGCTTTTTAATTCATGTCAGCAGATGTATTCATCTTTAACCAAAAGGTTGTTAATTCATCGTTTAATTTCGTTCTATGAAAAGTCCAGTGTTTCCCCGACATTCATTCAGCAGCGGCGTACCACCGCTGACGAATTACGTGCGCCGCTGCTGAAATTTCACGATCGTTCATACCGATGCACCACTAATGATTTCGACTCGCACTGTGTGAGTACGGCAAAACACAACGTTATTTTCAACTTGTTTTGAGTCATCAACGAGCACAAATGCTCAAGCTTATACATGGGTAACATAACGTAACAGGGTAGCTCTTTGAGTGGTGAGAGAGTGGTGGTAACAGCGAAGATTTGTAGGCGAAGACTGACTTGAGGAACAGGCTACAAGAAGAGCATCTCGCCATCTGCATGCGTGTGAGCATCAATGCCCTGCTTTTAGTACCTGAGTTAAAGTTTAGACAAATATTCTGACAATACAAGTTTTTCAGTCAGAATAATTCCTGGTTTGTCTCCGATGCAAATATTTGTTTATATGCAGATGATTCTGTTATTTGCTGCTCTGTCACTTTGTTAGATGCGTCTGATGCTCTACAGGACACCTTTTGTGAGATGAAATTTATCTAAAATCCTGAAAACAAACAAAAAAAGACTTCAGCTGTTAACAAAAGTCACTGCACCTGCAGTCTTTTACTTCATCTCAAGGTGATGTGATTGAGTCTGTGTCTTTTTATAAATACTTGAGATTTTCCATCAATGCCACTCTGTCTTTTAAACTTCATATTTCAAGAAAATTCAGCTACAGCTTCGGCTTCTTTGCAAGTTGCTCTTTAAGTCCTGTTTTTGTTTCGCTGCAAAGACCGGACTTGTTGCTGCTCGTTTTATTGCTCTGATTGATTCTGCTGATGTTTTAAACATGCATGTATCATCATCTCAGTGTCTTCACTCTCTAGACACTGTTTTACCATCGAGCTCTGAGCTTCATCACAAATCTGAAGTCTTTACCTCATCACTGCTTACCGTTTGCTCACCTAAATTACAGACACATCCTCATATAAGGCGATTCTTAGCATGTTCCTCTATTATTTTTTGAGTTATTAATATTAAAAATGCAAGAGATTCTTTTGCTTTCTCCCACAAGAGTGCATCTTGAAATGAGGGGAAAGAGTTTCAGGTGTGCAGTTTCTGCAGCTGCGCGGGAATTTGGGAGTGAGGGGGTTGGACTGGTCCCTCTGTGTGTGCATGTAGAAGCAGAATGAAGGCATCAGGCTGTACATGATTGCCATCATGATTTCTGTAAAATAAATAAATAGATGTATTTTTATATATATATATAAACAGTATGTTGATAAATTTTGTGAGACTTTGTTGAAATGTGCTGCTGTGAGTCTTAGAGGACATGCTTGTAAAAGAGATTTTAGATCTTAGCGAGGCTTTCCTGGTAAAGTACACAAAATTAATTACATGGAATAAAACTTCAGCTGAAGTACTGCTTTTAAAAATGCTTCAATATTACATTTTCTGCATAGCAGTTTTCTTGCCAGAGTGCAGTTAAGAGGACTATATTATGTTAAGTGAACATGGTTCACATCTCTCGTGACATTCCTTCATTTCAGCAAAAATATTGTAGATTTCTAGACTTGCTTTGATAAGTTTTATGGAGGTCCTGGAGAAGAAGACAGATTGAAAATTGAAACACAAGTGTTTTTTATGTCCATGTTTAAGTAGTTATGGAACATCACTTGGATGCATTACGTAAAAATAACATAATTAATAATGTGCAGAAAAAGTAAAAGCTGGGATTTAAAGCTCAGTTTTTTGCTTCAGAATCAAAAGCTCATTCTTTTTAAAGCTCGATCAAGCTTGGCAGTAAAAATCTAAGGGGCGAGTATCATATAAAGAGACAGTCAATGCAACTCGATTTATTTAATAATTTAAGAAAAAAAATATGTAAAACCACACATGCATTAGTGGAAATTTAGCTGCACAAAGTGTTGACTTACTCTGGAATGATCAGTGAAACCGAACCTCTCCCGGTCAGAAAACCTGTTTACATTTCTTAAACTTACAGACTGACTTTTTAGACAACAGAAAAAAATATATTCAGGTGCTGTGAGGGAGCAAACCCTCAAACGATACAAATCCTGCTTCACTTCAAAAACCGTTACCACGCAAAACTGCACCAGCGCTGCCCATATACAGACAACTCATCAGCTGTCTTAGCGTTCAACCACAGAGACAAGCGGCATACAGACACAGCAAACCTCACACAGAACCACACAAACACAGTTTATCGTCCTCTGGATCAATTTTCTAGTGACAGGAAAGACAATTTACCAGCTAACTTCTGAACAAAAGTACTGAACTGTCTGTCAGACGTGGTGGAGTAGCTAAGATGAGGACAGATCTCGGCCCAGCAGGTGATCATTGTCCTCATTATCACAGCTGTTCCGGTCCTCGATGAGACTTTATCAAGGGTGTGTGGGACAACAGTGGACAACAGTGGACAACCTCCGCTGGTTTTACTATCGCAGAGAACAAGACGTTTAGCTCGATTCTGACCAGTAAACTCATATAATCTGGATGATGGAAGGACTCCGCCCCATCAACATACGGACGATCGATAAGAATGCTCATGTGTCTCATCACCACCGGGCAGTCAGGGGCTGAAAACATGGCAGCTAACAGTATAACTCTGACTTTTATCCTATTTTAAATCTTTTTTTTAAGAATTTAAATAAAATCGGAACATAAAAACCAGAGCAGAACTTACAGACTCTAAAGAGAAATTAAAGATACTCAGAGAAATGAAATCATAATTTACCAAAATCTAAACAACTTCTAACTAGGGATGGGTGATAAATTATCATTCACGATTAGTCATCAGAAAAATCCTCTGAGATGAATATTTGCCGTCTCACGAGCAACGCGATAAACTTTCCTTCAAGATCGGGGCTTAGATAAGCGCAATCCAGGATGGTTGATATTGGAGAGTGGATCAGCTGCTGCAGTTAATGCTTATTGTGCAATAAAAGTATTGAATAAATATTGAAAGTGTTTTCACATTGAAGACTTGTTTGATTTCGCTTGTTTTCTCCAAAACCTACCACTTAAACATGTGGTTAAGTTTCTTATTTGACTACTCCGACTGGTGTTCTCAAGACAAAACGAGTAAAAATATGGATTGGAATTATAATATTTTTTATTTGGGCTTTTATTGTTATCGCCAGGATGGCAAAACTTATCTTGATACGTTTTTTTAGCCCATATCACCCATCCTTGAAACTGACTAAAACATCTTGTTCTGCCGAATTTTCACCTTCAAATGTCTTCTTTGTAAAAAGTTCAATTAAAAATGTTAAAACAAGTGTTTTCTTTGATTCACCGACACCTACCTCCTTGGCTCCGTGTCGGGCATTAAAATGAGCATATAGCATGTTCGTTTCAGTAAGTCATAAAAGGGCATCAAAATGAATTTCTGTTCATTTCATGAGTGCCAAAAACTCCTCAGAGGAGCTTTAATGAAATGTTTTATTTTGGTTCACTGAATTTAAAGCTACACAGTTTAGAATTAACAGACTGTCAGGATCTGAAGTATTTGAAAAAAAAAAACACCTGAAAACAAACATTGAAAAAAAGCCACATTTGTCCTCTAAGCGGTGGTGAATCATTTCTGCCTCAGAGAAGTCAGGGTTGGGAGGCAGATTTCACAGCATTTCACAGTCACATATGAACCTGCTCATTCATGTCTTGACTGCTGAACAATGCAGGGCCGTTATATGACGAGCATAAAGGGAACAATGAGACAAAAGAAACCTGTAGTTATGCTGCTCTGACAAACATGAGAATAAAAAAGGCGCATACTTCCAAACAAAAGCCCTCTGCTCAGCTCTATACTTAATGAAACACACCTTAGTCCTGTAGGAGCTTGCATATTGACATCGCGTGCTGAATGAACGCCTGAGCGTTTGACACAAGCGTGCAAACACATGAAGAAAGTTCCAAAAAATTCAGCCGCTGTTTGCTTTTTTTTTCTTCTTTTCTTAAGGATTAGAAAGTGTTCAAAAGTGGCATGAGAAAAGCGAGGCAGCGTTCAAGGATGCTTCCGCTCTTTCTTCGTCAAAACTGATTTACAACAGTTGATAAATAGCCTGCCACGGCTGAAAGCGCAGGCTTGACTCCCGCCTTATTATGAGCTTATGACAGCATTCATGGATGAGTGAGTGCGCATACAAAGCACAGCTGGCACGGCGCACATGCACTTTGCGAGAGCATGTGCAGGACAGAGATCTTCCGAACAGCTACTTCAAATGTCTGATTTATTCGTCAGCCTTTAAGAGTACAAACCTCTTCACACAACTGAATTCACAAACACACACACAAATGCGCACAAGCGTGGACAGAAGACAAAGCCATGAAAAGCCTCTGAGATATTCAGCCTTGAGCGTATAAAAGCAAATGAATCTCTCTCAAATTATTAAAGTTTGTTAAATAGTTTGCAAGCTGGAATCTTACCTTGAAGGTCTGTATAGCTTCTCACAGAGCTGTGTCTGTGTGAGTGTGTGTGTGTGTGTCTGTGTGAGAGAGAGTGAAAGAGAGAGAGTGTGTGTGAGTGTGTGTGTGTGCAGCTGAGTTGTCTCTAGGTGTCTCTGAGAGTGACCCATCACTTGGTTAAGACTTGTAATTTATAACCCGCCCGGCATAAGCCTCGAGGAGTGTGTGTGTGTGTGTGTGTGTGTGTGTGTGTAGGGTGTGTGTGTGTTTGTAGGGTGTGCGTTCCTAAAGCCTACCAGGGCAACCTCTAAAAAAAGAGAGTAGATGTTGAGATGAGGCTGATCACCTTTGTACGTTTGCGTTCATAAGAAAATAACAGACTGAGAGCTTCAAACATCTTATCATCCGTGTCTTAGTTTCTGTTCGTTCTCAACTCTGTCATTTTATTTTTTCATCTAATGTCAGTAGATGTTGTTTTTGTCCAAGTGACGTTCAGAGGAGCTGTCTTTCATTGATCAGAAAGTCTGTTACATAATGCAAAAGAGGCACCGACTCTCTGGCTGTGGAATCACGCTTTTATCAAGGATGCAGTGAAGAATTAACCTGAACAATTTCTCTTTATACACTTTCACTGCAGTCACATAATAGAAGAGAGACCCGAACAGAAACAGTAAGAAATCACATTCAACACATTGACAGGCGCCCTGAGCATTACGATGTTACCACAGCGTTACAATTCGGCTTTAACACCAAACTGTTCTCGTCTGCGAACTTTACCTCATCATGATTTCAGAAGGCGACTCCTAAAATGACCAAAACAGGCAAGTTGAGGTCCACTATAATTTTAAATAAAGGAGGGTAATGTCATGATTGCCAGCTACAACCTCTAAAAGTAGTATACAGAGATTTGACTGTCAACAGAAATACAACAAAGGCAAAAACAGGATCCCGACCATCGACAGTTATATGAAAAATACACCCTGATAAATTCAAATTAATTTCTTACACTTCTTTATTCTTCTTTATAGGCAGTGATACCTAAACCCCTTTTCCTTCTTCTGTGGGAAGTGTTATAACTGAATTACGGTCTGTTTTATATAAGTCTAAAATACTCCTTACAGTAGCTTTAATATCTGCAAATTGAATTAAATGAAATTAAACAGTTGAGCCGACAAAAGGAAACAAAGACCAGCAGCAGAAAGACTCTCGACTGTCATTTCCACGTGGCTAAAACTGCTGCGAAGGCTGATTTCAGACGATCAGATTTTATATCTCAGCAAAGAAAAGTTTTTTTTTTTAATCTCTACAAAGATTGACTTTTAAAAAGGCAGGATAACATTTTGGGTATGAAAACAAACTCACAGATGTAGGCTACAAGAAAAAATTGTGACAATAATGATTAAAAAAATCAACACAGACACAAAGTTCCTTACAGGAGCTTTATACACTATTTCAACACTGCAGAACCTCTAACAACAAACACAAAGTAAATAAGACGGCTGAATACTCTGGATGTCCTGCACGGAGAAAACCAACTACATTATTATTTCAAATTTAGTTTAGCTTATGTTGCAGAGACACACAGAGAATGAAAATATAATCTTAAATTAACTTATATTCAATCTGTTTTATGGTTAGTCAAAGGAGTTGCCCCACAATACGATATTATTGCAATTTTAAACATTTTGCAATACAGTAAGTATCACCAAACAATACATTGCGATTTATACAATTTTTTCAACTGTTTGGCTGATTTTGTCTTTCTTTTATGTTTGTCGTATTTACACAGTATCTTATTTTCATGTTGCATATCTTGCAAACCTTATATGTCAGGTCCATTTCATTTGTGCTCTGCTTGCATTCCTAATGTCTTTTCCATGTGCTGCTATATTTGTTTTACCAACTTTCTCCTGCTCTATGTTGTCACCTCTGCCAACCTATTAAACAACCCATTATCATAGATTTGAATTCGATACTTGGTAAATGAGACGATACGAAATATCATCAGTAGCAATAAATTATCATTCACGATAATTCGTCTGAAAAATCCTCCATGATAAAATATTTGCCATCTCATAAAAAATCTATAAATGCAAGTTGATGACGTAAGCGTGAGCAACTGACTCGCAGCCATAACCCACACAGAGCAGAATAACAAATAAACACGGCTGAAGGTAATGAAGAAGACGTTTCTGAGCGTTACTGAATGAGGGATTTCCTTCAAGATTGGAGTTTAGATGAGCGCAATCAGGTATGCCTGACATCGGACTGTGGATCTGCTGCTGCTGTTCACTCTGTGCAATAAGAGTTTTCAACAAGTGTTAAAAATGTTCTCACATTTGAGACTTGTCTGATGTCACTAGTTTTATCTTTAACCTTCCATTTAAACTTGTGGTTAAGTATCTTATTTGACTACTCCGACTGGTGTTCTCAAGACAACATGAGTCAAAGATATAGATTGGAATTATATTTTTTATCGGGACTTTTATCGTTATCGGCAGAATGGCAAATCTTATCATGATAAAATGTTTTGCCCGTATCGCCCATCTTTTATCACCAGACAAAATGTGGCGATATAATGCTGTCTCGATTTTTTCTGCCACCCCTAGTTATTAAATGATTAAATGTCTGGCATTGCTCTAAAGGCTGAAAAGGTGAAGTGAAAACACTCTGATAGGTGCTGTTTTTCATCTTTCACTGTTGTTTAACTATCTCACTTTAAAGCAACAAACTCCTACAGTTCATCAAGAAAGCAGCTTTATCCCACAACTGCCGATGCTGAACGTGTGACGGATTAGACTGAAATGATAAAAAAAATCCCAGTTTTATCAGATTTTGAAACAAACTCTTTGACGGTTTAGTCTATAAGTTTGCTTTATGAACCATGTAGCTTCTGCATGTTGTAATTACAAAGTCAGCCAGAAAAACAATCATCCCCTACTCTCTACTGACCAATTTCCTCGACTAGGTAATCTACAAAGGGTAAAAAGGGAAGAGGAAATGGCATCAGATCAAATAAAAAAATAAAACTTCTTCCTCGACAGGAAAAAGTGCGACAGTACAACATTAAAAGATCAAAACAGATGATTCAGGAGGAGGCTGATAATCATGGGTAAACATCGTTTTAACTGAGCAGTGTAAATTCATCATAGAAAAGGGTCAATGCTGACCACTCTGAAGTTTCGATCACAGCCGTGTGGATAAAACTGTTGTCTGTCAGCATATGAATCAGTCCGTCTTCCAGCTGACGGCTGTGAAACTCACAGTTCTTGTAATTCTTCCAAAGGAGACAATGCAGACAGAGGGGGTTTATTTAAAGAGATCATAAGGCTTTTCCTGAACACAGCATTGTTCTCTGTGATTGGCTTGGCCTCACACTGCGCTAAAGCAGAGCTGAGGTGTATACACACGCAGGCACATACACACACACGAGCACGCACACACACATAAAGACACACCATTCTTGTCCATTGTGGTGTTTCCCTGTAGACTCCTGGTTCAATAGGATTCAGAAAACAATGTCCTGAGGATATAGGGGGTCAGGAGGAGAGAGGGGAAAAAACCTTTGTCTGCGCCGCTGCCCTCATGGAGACAATTGATGTATAGGAATAGGACATTGTACACACACACACACACACACACACACACACACACATAAACACATACACACACACACACACACACACACACACACACATTCTCACCTGACTACTCACAAACATACCAGCTGGAGCGAAACATTCAGTGTTAAAAATGTGTCTAAAATAGTCAAAGGCTCAGGGCTCGTATAGAAAAATAACGGATGAAATGGAGTCCATTATTTTATATTCTAATGCTGATCAGTGTGTTATATTGATTATAACACGACCTGATAAAAGGGGGAGGGGTTGAACAAATGGAAAAACAAAAAGGTATCCATGGTTTAAAACTGCACTCGCACTTTTAAGTTTTTTAGAGCTTAAAACGGTGATGTTACGGTTTTATGATTAAAGCCCTTCTGATTCAGGACTTTAAGACCAATTCTGACATCAATATTTGGTCAAAGGAAATCTCACTTTAGCTCATACTCATTGATGGAAGTCAGGTTCCTATGCATAGATTACTCTCAAATATGGAGTGTATAAAATTCAATGTTGGCGCCTTTTGGTTATATTAAAGCAGACTTTGACTTACAGTAAACTAACATCATCAACATTTAGAATATCTGTAAGGCAGAAATTAGTGTTTTAATGCATTTATGTTTTTTTCCAACTGTTATGTTTAGGGCTGAACAATTAATTGCATTTGAAATTACATCGCCATATGTTAAAACGCAATTTTCACCGCAAAAGCTGCAATTTTGACAGGTCATGTGATCTGGTCACATGACTTGTGAATGAAGCAGAAACTCTGCACTCTGTCGTACTTTGGCTTAATTCTGCCACAGAAGCTAACACCGCTCAAAGTTTAGTACCAAAGAGGAGCGGCACGGCAGAAAAAGATGCTGCTGCGCAACGTGTTCAGAACGTGTCGTGCTACTGTTGTTATATCAGGAGGTAACACTACGAACCTTCATCAACACTTATAAAAACACAACAAAGCCATGCATGATAGTTGAATGGCTAAAACTCCAGTGACAAGCGCTTCAACTTCAAACCACGTCTGCATAACGACGGAAAACGCGTCCAATATGATGATGGCTGTAAAGCTAAGAGAGAGACCCGACTCCAGTGTTTTGGCCACCGATTACACCTCACCATCGGTACGTAGATTAGCATTATGACGTACATGATGGCACGTGCATGTGTGTGCAATAGTGTGTGAGCAGAGAGAGCCTGTGTGTTTCCAGAAAGAACAGTTTATGTCTAATTAATCTGATGTTGTTTACTGTGATAAAGATTGATTCATTGTTTGTTTGTTAAAAAATACATTAGAAGAGGACCTTGAAAAAATAATTGCATATTAAATTGCAATTCTGAAGAAAAAATCGCAGTTAGATTATTTTCCACAATGGTTCAGCCCTAGTTCCACTGCGCAACATGAACACTTGTCTTTCTCATTAGGTCGTAAACATGCAGTCAAAGAAAACAGCAGATACAAGTCAGTACAAAACATCCTGTCGAGTGCTGGTTTGATCGACTATTATTTCATCAGTAATTTCTGACAATGATAAAAATAGCATCTTCAATTAAAAGAAAACTGCGCCGCCTTCTCCTGCAGGTGATTTTCACAACACTACATGTATGTGGTATACACACTTGAAGGAAACACTCCACGGTCCTGTTAACACTCCACATAAGACCCACAATGCTAACGGGTACAGCGTGATGGGAACACACCATAAAACCTGTCACACCTCATGGAGGGTGAGCCTGTGATGGTAGCAGCATTGTGTGCGTGTTTACATTTTTACAGTTCGGTCAAACACAGACACATATCCTGCACGAACAGCAGGAATTTCTCTGTGTTTAATGAGGGTCTGCAACAACAGGTATATTTTATTGTGGATCAGCAAGGCATTGACAGGTCATACCACTGACACTGCATACCCTGTATGTATGCATGTTGCAATTGCAGTTGTCAAATGATACGTATCTTTCAGTCCAGCAGCTGGCAGGGTGGTAAAAACACAAGGGAGCAGAAAGAGCTTCACAGAAACCTCATGTTGTGGGCTTCACCGCGGGACCCTGTGTCTTATTTACAAGTGTTTTTCATATCCGTAATCTGTGTGTGTGTGTGTGTCATCTGATCTCATACAGAAATTTAAGAAAAAAAAAGATAAAAGAGATAACAAAGAAAAAAGACTTAGAGATAAGGTGAAATGTCAGATTGACTAAACTCCGTCCGTAAACTCACATCAGCATTTACAGCTGCCTTGAAGAATGATTCATAACCGCAGAACTGAGCTTTTGATTTCTGTACATCAACATTTGAAAAGTCCTGAACCTGAAGGTCATGTTACCACATTTTGTGCTGTTTCCAAGGTAATCCCAAAATCCTCAAAGACTTTCTTTTTTTCCATTCATCCAAACTGAGAGTAGAGAAATAAAATTCTGGCTACTGTCCTTGTTTGGATGGTAAGAAATGAAAATCAACATGTGAAATGGGTGAAAAATGTTTTGAACACATAACAGATGGAATATTTTTTTTTTACCCAGATGGTTGGAGGAGTCCTTGAAGGTTTTGGAAAACCTTCAAAACAGCAGTACGTGTTGTTAAAGACCACTTAGTGTTTGTGTATCAGGTGCCTGGCTCTTTCCTGTTTGATAACAGGAAACCAAATGAACTGATAAAGTGATATGAAGGAGGATTATTGTTGCCTTGGAGTAGAATAGGACTTATTCCTGATTTAAAATATTGACGTTTACTAATTTGATGTGTCCTAATGTTTTAATTTCAAGACACATCTGTGAGCCAATAGGGACTTTGAATTGTACGGCTGTAATGAAGGATGGCGCTCATCGTGACCAACAGAGACAGAGACAGAGAGATAGAGTGAGCACCTGGGTCACCTTTCGTCTAACATGAACCCATTCACCTGTGAAGACAAAGCTCTACAGAGACATGGGGGGCGGGGGGGTTAGAGGTGAAGGGTGAAATGCCAAGCCACTCCTAGAGATTATCCTGTGCTCATGCGCTCGAGTGTGTTTTTGTAGACAGAGACATGTATAGCACACAGTATACAGCGCTGATGACAGACGAGCTCTTTTCTCTACATGTTCACCTTGCAGATTAAAAAGCATGATAAGCATGCAAGGGTACAGAGATGCAGCATTACTTTTATAAGTTGCACAGATAAAAGAAAGAATCAAAGTAAAACAAAAGAAGTGGTGGCAGCAGCAGCAGGGGGTGCAAAGATGG